TACGGTACGCTCTCACCACGGTACGGTACGCTCTCACCACGGTACGGTACGCTCTTACCACGGTACGGTACGCTCTCACCACGGTACGGTACGGTACGCTCACCACGGTACGGTACGGTACGGTACGCTCTCACCACGGTACGGTACGTGTTGCGTACAAGGTCTTCGGTTCGGTATATAGATATGATCATAATGCAGAAAAGAAAAGAAACGCATAGATTTTGACAAAATGATTCGACTTCTAGACATTTTAGACCTTTAAAAAGGTTAATAAAATGACGGTACGAAAACCGAAAATACCGGCGTTTTTTAATAGCATTACGGTATATCGAACCGAGGGCAAAATACCGCAGTTCTACTAATACCCCGGTATACCGTTTCACCCCTACAAAGTGGTACACATCCGAAATCCGCATCACTTCGCAATTTCCACCCACATGGCTGGGATACTGATCAAAGCAGCATTAAGCCCAACTCACTCACTCACTCACTTTGATACATCATCCGACCCTACACCTGAACCCAAAGGCAATCAAAACAGACTGCTGTTTACTTCGCGGAATGAATTATGCATCAGGATAGTTTAGTGGGGCTGTTGTCTGTCATACAGACCCTGAAGCAAGTATATCCAAGAAATCCCACGCAAGTCTAGAAAATGTGGCAAGTCTAGATTTCCACAGCTTCAGGGTCTCTAAAAATGAAGAAAGTCTCAGGGCTCCTTTTTATTATATTTTGGGTTTTTTTCACTATGAGCATTTTTTCTGTAAAATATGTTCATTTCAGAGACTAGTTGTTAGTCTAGTTGGGCTGTGAACTTGAGTGACGTGGCTGCGTTGATGGGAAAGTGGTTGTTGGGGGCGTGGTGTGTGTGGAGAGCCATCCTCTGTTTGGATACATCGCCCAGTTGATGTTGCGAGCTTCGGGAATCGGGCCGTGATTCAGTTGACACCACTCTGCTGGAATCCATATGTTATGTCCCCGCTGCCTAGTGCTTGTTGTGAGTGAGTGAGTTAGTTTAGTTTACGCTGCACTCTGCAATATTCCAGCTATATGGCGGCGGTCTGTAAATAATCGAGTCTGGGTGTTCAGGCTCGTTGACTTGGTTGACACATGTCATCGTATCCCAACTGCATAGGTCGATGCTCATGCTGTTGATCACTGGATTGTCTGGTCTCGATTATCATGCACTGTCGACATATAGCCAGAATATTGTTAAGTGTGGCGTTAAACACCAACCAACTTTACAGTGGTTATAATATCCCTGTGGAGAGTTGAGCAAATTATAAATGTCATTCTGACACTCTCTGCAAAGAGGAAGTAAGTTAACTTTTGAAAAGATTATCTGCCTATGAACAGTTTATTTCCCTGTAATCTTCCCTCTTTCAACACTGCTTCATGAACTCGCATGTTTGTCAGCCACGCCCACTTTTGACCTCAATTCATATTTCTTTGTAATAAGACGTCAGCTTATGAAAGAGGTACTTGCTGTCCCCCGTAATCCCTCGACGCACCTGATCGTAAGCTCCCCCTCCCAAAGCTGCGCAAGCTGACATCTGTCTCTAGTAAACTTAAATTGAGGAACATATGGCCGTGATTGAAGTGGAACACGGTCGTCTGTGTATTCAGACGTTTATGAACTAACTCGCTTCTAAATATTCCCACCCCCTGTGTGGGGCAGGCACTCACCCCCCTAAACATGGCTATACGCAGTCTAGCAGCTTGGATGAGGATCCTACTTAGCACGTATGTATGTGTTTGTCAACTGGATAGAGGGTGAGTGTCCAGCATCGGCAAATGCGGTCCTTCGTGTTTCGTATGCTGCCGTCCGCTGTCTCGAACATGGGTATATCTAGACGTTTTCTGTTTTCTTTTATGGGTTTTAATATTTGGGTTTTTGTTGTTTTGTTTTTGTTGCTTGTTTTGGGAGGGAGGGTGGTGTTTTAACCCACACTCGGCTATTCTCCATTCAAGAATGATCGGATCTTAACCAAACAATCCAGTCATTGAAGGGTTGCTGAAGGTCCCGGAAATCCTCGATGAATACTATTCCATATAACTCTTTTCAGAGGAAATATTTTACGGTCAGGGCTAATATTTATCGGGATTAACATTACTGATTTTCGCAAAATTTCGTCATCATTTCTCTGGAGTGAATGCGGGGCGGTAGGGTAGCCTAATGGTTAAAGCGTTCGCTCGTCACGCCGAAGACCCGGGTTCGATTCCCCACGTGGGTACACTTTGTGAAGCCAATTTCTGGTGTCCCCCGCCGTGATTTTGCTGGAGTATTCCTCAGAACAAAACGTACTCACTGGGGTGAATGAGTATTGCATTATGCCGAATCAGCACTAATTCAGCTATTTGCTGGATTTCTGGTTTACGAAATGCTCGGTAAGAATAAAACGAGTTGTTCGCACGGCATATAATCTCAAGTGTGTTACTGAAAATAAGGTTCAGATATCATACTATATGATAAAAAGTAACAGTACATCGGTGACAGAGAATCTGGGAATACAAGTAAGCTTATCATTTACTGCCAGACCATCGAACTCTGTTCACATTTCACGTTTACATGACTGAAACGAATAATGCCTACGTATATCCACAATTCAAATATTGTGTGGGAGGTTATCTTCACGAAAAACTGAACACGACCACACTGCTACTTCACGTGGCTTTTAACAGTTTGCTTCTAGCAGTTTGGAGACTTAATGTTATTAGGTGCGTAACTTTGGCTCTTAACTTCGGATGGCTTGTGCCAACGTAATTCTACCTTAGATGTACACTGAACAATGTTTAGAACGTACTTGCTTGTACCGAACTGGCAGATATAACGAACTGCTCCCGGTCACATGCTGTATGTTTTAGTCGAAGGAAGTTATAACTAAAATCAGTGGTCCCTGTGAGTTCGTTATAACCGTATTTGGGTTAGAACTGGTTTTCAGTAGCCCATGTTTGTCTCCCCGTCAAGATCCTGGTTAGAACTGGTCTTCAGAAACCTATGATTGGCGTAGAGGCGTATAGGGTGGTCAGGCTCGCTGACTTGACACATGTCATCGTATCCCAATTGCGTAGTTTGATGTTCACGCTGTTGATCACTTGATTGTCTGGTGCAGAGTCGACTATTTACAGACCGCTGCCAATATTGCTGAGTGCGGCGTAAAACAACAAACAAACGTATATGTAGGATTTTTTTAGATTATTCCAGAGGACAACTGTAAACTCTGTCACTCGCCTCACCCACACCCGACGCCCCTGACCCACACACCTCACCCGACACTCCTTGATCGGTACCACTGTCTGCATTTTGTCAATTTCAATAAGTCCAGTTTTGCAATAAAAACATGAACTTTAGAAATGTAGCCTTCCAATGCTACTAGTCTACCAGAACGACCATTATTGAGTTACTTGCCCTCAGTAAAATTTAGCAGACTCGGGCTGACGGGTTAGCATGAAAGCTGCAATTAGAACCGGCAGTAAATTACCGTCCATTATTACCTGGGTATCACCACGGGGATCTATCAGTGCATGCCTCTCGTTAAAACACTCACTTAAAAAGCTTTCAGACCTCGATCAGGCTCCAGTGTATGTTTTTAAGACAGTAAATATTGAAGACGTTTGTGATAAATTTTGAAGTTGACAGAAGTACTTAGAATCAATATTGGGAAACCAGTGTTAAGTGCAATTAGTGTCAGCTTGTCAATCACTGAAGTACATTAAAGGGAGATAGCATGTTGGAGGGTGTTATCAACTATCTCTGGATAAAACGCCTTCACAGGGAACCCATCCCCGGGTCTTGTCAATTTCAGTTTGTCCGGGTCAACACTGAAAGCTATTGTTGGTACCATTTTTATGAAATTGTTAATATATATTTGCCTTTATGGCTTTTAAGATCAGCTTATTAGTCAGCGTAAATTGGCCATGGTAGACATCGGTTCGTTCCGCCCCCTAATTTCGACGCAGGGTTAACAGCAATTATGGTCCTGAAGTGTCCACAGTGACCACTGGTCATATATTGTCCTGTGGGACAATTGACCGTTTCCACACCTCCGCCGTTCAGCTTGAAGGCGTCCACCCCTCCCTGTTTTCCCGACCCCTGAGGCGATGTGCACATTGTTCCATTACCATATCTAATTATTGCAATTGTCGGTCCTCAAAGAAATCTTATTCCGTGTTTCCTGCAATCTACTTTTTGATCATACCTATTGTAAAACATAATGTCGTTTTAGGTCTTTGTTGTTTTGCTAATCCCATCTTCAGAAAAATGTGCAGCCAGTCTCTTTCATGTTGCCGTTTCCGCCATTTCTCGTGAATTAATTGATTTTCGAATTAGCTAGACAAGCGTTAGGATTTCCAGTTGCCCTTCGCTCTCGCGTGAATTTGCGATAGTGATTCTGTTGCAGACTCGTGCCTCCTTATGTCTTCTCCCCACCCACAACGATAGCCCTACATGACCAGCACCCCTGTGTATGGCCAGTTGAAGGGGGGCTGTGTCCATACACGTCGCCTACAGCCCCCACGGTGCCGTCGTCTTGTTGTACTATCACATTATTTAGCCGCTGCAGTGATATGGATATTAACTCGTCGCATGTTGCCTGCGGCGCTACATCGATTGATGCTCTCAATAGCTATTTGTCTGCTATCATTTGTGTTTACTTAAGGGTTAATCTAAACCATTTATCAAATTAACCCCACTCCGTATTGACTAGCGATTGGGGGTAATTTTTGTCGTCTTATGGCGCTGCCTGTGGTGCTTGTTGAGAGACAGAATCGCGACCTCATCTAACAGAACAATGTCAAGGCCGATAACTCTTCTACTTCCTGTTTGAATCATCACCGATGTTAACTCAGTCAAGTTTATGCAAACACAACTATTTGCTTTAAACTGTCATACCATTTTAACCTTTTCTAATGAAATCATAATTGCAAATATATTGTTTTGACATTGATTTCACGATTACCTCCCTTTGATTTGTATTTAATAAATGTTGTTTATTTTGTAGGAAACGCAGACAACAATCAGCTCCAAATGAACGGCAGTTTAGTGTCTCAAGCTACCAACAACCCCCCAGGAAATGGGGGCCCGAACGGAGGGGGTCCGGTTAAAGCGTGTGGGGGGTGCGGGGCACGCATCGTGGACAGATTCCTGTTACACGCGTTAGATAGATACTGGCACACAGGTTGCCTGAAGTGTTCATGTTGTCAGGCACAGCTTGGGGAAATCGGGACATCGTGTTTCACAAAAGCAGGAATGATTCTTTGTCGGAATGATTACATTCGGTGAGTAATCTGTGCGCATTGCTTTCATACATAGTCACGTTTATTATCTTGCTGCATTTCACATCCAGTTTGGTTTCAGATAACCCGTGAAGTCATGTTATTATCTTGCTACGTTTCAGATCAGGTTTCGTTTTATGTCCAGTTTCGTTTCAGATAACCCGCGAACATCCGGGTTAAAACTGGTCTTCACCGACCAATGCTTTCCATCGGCGGCGAGTATGCTTGTCGTACCGGGCGACTAGCTGGTCGTTTGATGACCCTCTTGGAATGGGTTGATGCATGTCATCGTATCCCGATTGCGTAGATGGATGCTCGTGATGTTAGTCACTGGATTGTTCAGTTCACACACAAAAATCATAGACCGTCGTCATAGTGCTGTGACATAAAACAACAAAAAGTCGAAAGTTTCTGGTTGCAAAATTTTTCCTCGAATTTTTGGGACACCGCAATGGAACCTCATTCTCAATTTGTTGGGACCGGTGGAGGGTACTTTTGTGTTGGGCAACTGTAGAGCAACATTGATACAGAACTTTAACCTAGGTTTGCGGTCAGTTAGGTCAGTCAACATCAGCCGTCTCCTCTATCCCATTAGCTTTCGTAGGAAACATCAGATGCATTCATTGGAGGGAAAAGTGGTCTCCATTTCACTGAGTGACCAGCGCATTGACACCATCAATCCTAATGGCCACCCTTACAGAAGAGTGGTGATCTGCCACCGACAACGTTTACTGTTATAACCGGCTATGATATATTCTCCCATCACTCTCACACTCGCGGCTTTTCCTAATAACGTGTTTGGAAAACCACCCCAGGCATGGAAGTAAGTAAATAAGAAATCTACTTTGCCGAAGCTTTTCTCGATGTAACACAAATAAATTTCAAAGCCGAGGCGCTCTTTCAAAGTTGCTAAAATGGGGCGAGGACTTGCGACTCGTTAAGGTTAAATTTCATCCCCGGCTTGTGCAGACCCAGCGTGGGGTCTTGGAGAAATATCGCCTTTTCACGAAACTGCCGAGTACGCATGGTTCAAACAGCACTTCAATGTTGGCAAATGAGTGAAGGTTCTTTAGGAAGCAGGAATTATTTTCCATTGACAGCGCTAAACCCTGGCCGTAATTATATTCCTTGTCTATTGAAAAGGTTGGCTGAACTTGGAGTAAATTGGATGTCCCGCGAAACCGCTGACACTTGTTTCCGACACGTCAGCATCTGAATCAGACCGACTTGACTTGATTTGCTTAATACATAGCAACAACAGATATCCTCGGGGGTGAGGTTGTGCCTACGTCAGCTTCTCAGGGCAGGATTGAACATCATCATCCAGTGTACTTCTCATCTCACTCGAGGGGGTTGGGGTAGCCTTGTGGTTAAAGCGTTCGCTCGTCACGCCTAAGACCCGATTTCGAGTCCCCACATTGGTTCACAGTGTGAAGACCATTTCTGGTGTCCCCCGCCCTGATATTGCTGTCATATTGCTTATAGCGGCATAAAACTCGCAATGTTCCTGATTTTTCAAATGCGACACAAATGAATACATTATGTAAGAAACGAACTTGTGTGATAGGCGTGACTATGAAACACTATACCACTGTGCTACCCCGTTTCAGCTCCCTCGTCTGGTATTGAGACTAAAATTTTAGATCACATGCTATCCGATATTGTCATAATTACTCAGATGATTGACAAAGAGAGTACGGGCGTCAGTTCCACCATGACTGGAATTGTGATTGATATTAACATAATCCTCATAATGAAATTGCTTTTTACATCAATATTTTTGCTGAGTATCATCTCCTAACAAAAAACCCACGTCAACAGAGGACACAACACAAAGGTTTGTCAAACCCGTACAATGAAGGATCCCTTTAAGACAATAACCGGTCCCAAGCATACTTTTCCTCTCTTCTAATTATAGCTCAGGAACACGCCAATCCATCCCATTATTACTTTGGGTAGCCGGGTCTCTTAAAACGTCCATTTTTAATTATCTTGGCAAACGGTGACGTCACGAAACAATTCCTAATTGAAATATGAGTCAGGGACAGGGGAGTATAATTAATTCTCGTGGACGGTGTTTACCCAATGTCGCCAATTCGGAATTTACTTCACTTTGGAGCAATTGGGTCTGGATTAATTTACCGTGACTACGTTGTCAGCCTTTCGCGTTTAATATTTGTAATGGGGATGAATTTTCCCTTTTACATCCAGCATAATTGAATGTGTCGGCCGTATGCTACCGGGGTGATGTAGGGCTTTAGAGCGTGGATCTGTTCAGTAATGAAAAATAGTAGATTTATTTCATAGAGTTAATTAGATTAGTTGTGACGCGTTTTCCACACGTCTCTTACGTCCAAATTACATCTTTTTGTGGCCGAGCTTGAGATGTGTCGTTTATTGCAACGAAAATACATTTCATTAAGCGTGACTGTTTGTTGACGAATTTCGGAGGAAGGATTGCACGCACTGGCTCTATGGTCGGAGCACGGATATGTAAACACGGGCTTTTCTGCTGTAAAACCTCAAACTCATATCTCTTGTATGGATAGCTTTGGTATACTTTTGAAACCTAATGGAATTTCTCAGAAGGTTCTGCCAAGCCATGGCACTGGTAACGCTAATTAACAATCTCTAAAGGGGCGTAATAAGAGAGATAGCATCCAAGTGATCGCAGAGCTTTGTGTACACAATTTCACAGCAGAGGGAGCCACTGAGTGCGCACGCATCTGCCAGAACTCGAGGCGAGGAAGGGTGAATGCGGGCCTCATTCTGCACCTAATTTTAGAAGTGGGAAAAAAAGTGTTTATGCCGGAAACACCGTTAAAATAGATATGACCTCTTGTTGTGCCGGGAAGTGCAGTGTAGTTTTGTTGTGGTCATAGCGGTGAATATATGTTGACAACCTCTTGTTGTGCCGGGAAGTGTCCATAGTGTCGTTGTGGTGAATTTGTGTTGACAGGATTGCTCTAGTGTTGTGCATGAAACACTTATAGGGGCGGTGAGGTAACCTAGTGGTTAAAGCGTTCATTCCTCACGCCGAAGACCCGGGTTTGATTCCCCACATGGGTACAATGTGTGAAGCCCATTTCTGGTGTCTCCCGCCGTGATGTTGCTGGAATATTGCTAAAAGCAGCGTTAAACCAAAGTCACTCATTCATACGTGCTATCCGTAGTGCAGGATACGCTTCCCCTTTTCGCGAACACCTGGTGTCATCGCATATTTTCAGTGATTCTTTCATAACCGCTAATATAACTGTGAAGTTCTGTGGAAATGTCTCCATGGACACCGGTTGGTCCATTGACACGAATTGTGCGAGTATAGATTTACGCGGCTTTTTACAATGTACAAGTGACATTCAGTATGGCTATTAGATCACAAACGACCTTTTATAGTTGATGCGCAAGAATCACATTGGTGGAGCAGTGATGTTGCTAGCGACACTTGCATCCACTTTCACCCACAAAATTAATCACTCTCTCAAGTGTCCGGGTTAGAGCTGGTCTTCAGTAACCCATGCTTGTCGTAAGAGGTGACTAATGGGATCGGGTGGTCAGGCTCGCTGGCTTGGTTGACACATGTCATCGTATCCCAGTTGCGTAGATCAATGCTCATGCTGTTGATCACTGAATATCTGGTCAAGACTCGATTATTTGCAGACCGCCGCCATATAGCTGGAATATTGCTGAGTGCGGCGTAAAACAACCAACCAACGTGCTCAGTGAATGAAGATGGAAGTACATGTATTCTTAAGTTTGGATAGCAGATATCTCTAAACATTGGGGCGGTGGGGTAACCTAGTGGTTAAAGCGTTGGCTCGTCACGCCGAAGACCCGGGTTCGAATCCCCACATGGGTACAATATGTGAAGCCCATTTCTGGTATCCCTCGCCGTGATGTTGCTGGAATGTTGCTAAAAGCGGCGTAAAACCAAACTCAGTCAGTCAGTCAGTCTAAAACATTGCGAATACGGGCGAAGCAAGGGTCCTTATTTTTCATGGTTATCTTATGTGATGATGGCCTTGGATGGGATTCAGGTGGAATAGATGTTTGTCATCTACACCGGTGGTTTTCAGGCATTCTTCGCGTCCTGGCTAACCCAGTCGTGTTTTATTATGTTTATCGCTTTATCATAAACTCATATATTTCAGTTTTATTAGTAGTGTTAGTGGCGCTGAAATATCATATCCTTCACTCGTCGTTGAAGGCATTGTTCCTATATCGTTTAGCAAGCGGATATGAGTTTGACACATCTCGGATAAGAGAAAATATTATTCGTATGGCCCCATTAATAACACTCCGGCTCCCACGAGTCGCTAAAAAACCCTACCCAACAAAAGAAAATCTCAAAGAACATTCTTGTGTCTGTTGATAAGTATGTAACTATTTCGTTTGATTCGAGTCGAGATTGTGCCACTCGAGCGCACCTCAATGAAGGCCTGGACGTGTGTGTTTATGAATTTTCATATTTACTATTAGTGTGTTGAGAGGTAATCGGGCGAGGCCAATATGTACCCCCTGTGGGGGCGGGGGTCAGTGGTGAGGTGGCAGGTGACGTATGTTAGCACTGTACCTCTCACTGTGGAATGCGAGAGTGTGTCGGACATAACTCCTGGCTTACGTGGTGTCGTAACACCAGGAGGGTGTGACGAGACGTGGGGAGAGAGAGGTGAGGGGGAGAAGCCGGGATGGGGGTAGAGGCGAGAGTGTGACGAAACGTCTAGGGTAGGACGTTAAGGAAACGAAGCAAGGGGGACAGGAAAGAGACGTGGTGAGAGGGTGACGTGATGTTGGGAGACAATGCGACGAGGAGCGGGACCAAAGTGTGACGAAATGGTGGGAAGAGAGTGAGTGAGTTTAGCTTTTCGCCGCTTTTAGCAATATTCCAACAATATCACTGCGGGGGATGCCAAAAAATGGGCTTCACACATTGTACCATGTGGGGAATCGAACTCGTGTCTTCGGCGTGGCGACCGAACGCTCTAACCACTAGGCTACCCCACCGC